TTCAGCAGGCTTTGCCTTTTCTTCTCCTCTCAAGTGGAGGTTAGGATCTCTGGGGCTTCTCTAGGAAGTGAGAGCTGTTCTGACACACTGACTCCTGTGGAAAGGGGGCAAAATGCCATGTAAGCCTGGGGGGAAATGCTGAGATTGGCTGATTTCAGAGGTTCCTCAGAGGACTTGTTAAGCATTAGAGGAACTGAGACCTGACCAGTGAGGAACTAATACTGAATGAAATATTGGTCTTGCAGTCTCTGGCCAGAAATCTTCTACAGTGGGATTTGTGCAGTACTTTGTGTTTAGATCTATAACTTGAGCCATCTTAAACCTCACTTAACATAAGCTAAAGTGCAGCAGTTTGTTCAGATTGGTTCTTTCCCTGGACTGTCTTTCATGGCTGTACTTCTGATACAGCTTTCGGTGGCTGTGAGCATGGGGCTGGCCTAGAGTGCTGTTCAGGAGGGGCTTTCTTCTGTTACATGGTTGAAGACTGGTACCCTGCTTTTCACTGCTGCCTTCAGTAACAAACTGGGATGTGCTGACACCGTCAAGGGCAGTTCAGAGCCCAGCTTGAACACTGCAGGGTTTCGGGGTGTGTGTGACTTCTAAACAATTGTAGTGCCTATACTAATTATCCATTTTATATTTCATCTTTTCTTTAAGGTGGCTGTGGACAGAAGCAGGTGCTCAGTCAGATCTTGAGAGCTCTCTGGGGATTGGAGGCTTTGGGTATCCAGCAATGGCAGCTATTAATGCTCGGAAGATGAAATTTGCCCTTCTTAAAGGATCATTCAGTGAGCAAGGGATTAATGAGTTTCTCAGGTATGAAGTCTTTAAGTGACTTAAATCTTTCTGTAACTGGGGCTGTGATGCTTTAGCCCAAAGCCAGGCTCTCCTGGATCAGATGAGACTTGCACAGTTAAGAGAATTAAGATGGTGAGCATTCACTGGAGTAAGGGCATGATTTCGGTGAGGCCTGCAACTAACAAAGCAGTCTCTACCTCTTTGTCATGGACAGAATGAAAAAGTTGGCCTTTTAGACTTAAATGGTACATTTAGCACAACCTTTGAAAAACAGAAGTGATCTTGGATCTTGAAAAATTCTGGTTCTCTGGTAATCCAGTAAATTAGTGGGATTTGGTAATCAATACTACTAAATTCAAATGGTGCATTCTGACTAGTAGTTGGAAAGTTCCCAGTTTAGGAATCTAAATGGGTGCTGCTGAGGTTCTTGAGGTTCTGTATGTTACTGTTCATTTTTTCTGGTTTGGTCCAGTCCTGTCTGCCCCCTCCTGCTCTCCCCTCACCCATTCCCCTGGCATCTGGTAAACTAATTGAGGGAGCTGAAGCAATCCATCCAAAAAGTAAATTGCTCGCTGCTCAGCTCAAGTTCCCTGAAACTGCCTCTTGTGTAGTTCAGCAAAAAACAGTGCTGAGAATTGAATTGGGAAAGGAAATGGGGAGGAGGACAGAAGGCACAGCAGCTGACCTTATGCTGGTACTTAAGTATGGTCAAAGTGAAGTGACAACTCTGCTTCTGGGTAAAACACCAGCTGCCATGAGGTGTGTAAGCTCTCAAAGGCTCTTATGTTAGCAGCGTTATTTTCATGTCCTTGCCTGGAGAAGGGCAAAGGACAGTCAGAATTGCAAAAGGAAATACAAATCTCTCCTACGTTGCCATTAATTGAACCCTGTTCCTGCTGGATTGATGGAAACAGTGCTATATTCTCCTATATATTCTCTTACCTGTGTAAGGAATCAGACTTTCTTAATGCCAAAAAGGGAAGGTGCTCTGAGCATCAAGTAAAAATACAGGATTCAGATGCAAGAAAAGTGATACCAGACAGTCTGTACTAGTAATACATTGTGAGAGAAATGTCTGCCCTTCTCAGACATGGCAAATTCTTAGTCTATAAAATCCATATTAGCGAAGACTTTCCTCATGGGGGTGTATGGTGCTTCCAGGACACAACAGCCAACTTAACAGCTTACATTGTGTTAGATAATTGACTTGGTATTGTCTTACTACAGAACAATACTTGCTGGAATAATCTCTTGACACTTCAGCTCAGCTGTGCTGCCTAGAGAAAGCAGTACAATCGCAGTTGGTGTGGCTGGCTGTTAATTCAGCTTGCTGTGTGCAGCTTTTATAATCTAATAGGCAGACTCAACAGTGTTTACCAAAAGTAAGGAAACAAGCACTGAGAAGAGCATAAAAACTGTAGACTCCATCTAGGGAGGAATACTAAGAATCATAGAATTGTCTAGGTTGGAAGAGACCCTTGGGATCATCAAGTCCAACCATCTACCCTACTCTACAAAGTTCTGCCCTACACCATATCCCCCAACACCACATCCAAATGGCTCTTAAACACATCCAGGGATGGTGACTCAACCACCTCCCTGGGCAGCCTATTCCAATGCCCGACCACTCTTTCTGTGAAAAATTCTTTCCTAATGTTCAGTCTAAATCTACCCTGTTGGAGCTTGAAGCCATTCCCTCTGGTTCTGTCATTAATTACCTGTGAGAAGAGACCAGCACCAACCTCTCTACAGTGTCCTTCAAATAGTAGTAGAGTGATGAGGTTTCCCCTCAGCCTCCTCCTCCTCAAACTAAACAGTCCCAGCTCCTTCAACCACTCTTCATATGATTTGTTTACTAGGCCCTTCACCAGCTTCGTTGCCCTCCTCTGCACTCACTCCAGCACTTACTCAGTCTTACTTGCCTCTGAAAGAATGCAAAGGGATTAGTTCTTCAGGATTCTAATATTAGGCTTCTTGAGCAAGCCTAACTGGCAAGTGCAAGATGGGGTGTCTCAAGTCAGGAGCTGGTGTTACCTCATACCCATTGTAACCTGTGGAGGCTTAGAGTCCACTGAAAAAGATCGCTAGTGATTTCAAGTAACAGTTGTGGGTGACTTCCAAAACTAGAATTATAGACTCCTTGGAGTTGCCTCAAGTGATACACAACATACTGTTAAAGAGGCTGTGTTTGTTTGAGTATTACAAGGGGCACTGCTGAAGCATGAAACTGTAGCTCATATAGTTTGTCTCTTTGGATCCAATTGGAAACTCACAATGCTGCTTTAAGGGCGCTTGTTCATTTGTTGCCTCTCAATTTAAGAAGCTTTTGCTTTCAGACAGTGTACATTCGCTTCAAAAGGTACAAGCAGTTTTCAAAGTTAACTTCCTTTTGTCTGAAGTCGGCGCTGTTCCGGGTGGATGGAGACTGGAGAAATTTCTTAAATTTAATGTTTGCTTGGCTTTTTTTTTTTTTTCCCTCAGGGAACTGTCTGTTGGTCGTGGCTCTACAGCACCAGTGGGTGGTGGAGCTTTCCCTAAAATTCATTCAGTTGAACCTTGGGATGGCAAAGATGGTGAGGTAAGAGGTGCTCCATCTCTGTTGCTGATGATTTGCTAGGTTTGGAAGTGACTGGATGGAGTAACTAAGAACTGCCAATGTGAAAGTTCTTGTTCTTCCAAGATTGTGGCAAGTTGTTTTGATGTTTTCCCGTTACCTAAATTCTGCCACCACACCAAACACCAGCTTCATCTGGTGGACTTCCCTATGTAGGATGCATGCTACTCCTGCCTAGCTGTTAGGATGTAATCTGAAAGTTGAATCCCTTGAGGCTGTAACCTATTACTACCCATGCAGAGTAGGGGAGGTGGTAGTGTATGCATTCAAGACCCAAATGTTTGTCGAGATGTTGGTTCTGCGATATGCTGACATTAGCATCAAAGTCTTAATGTCAGGAAGCTTGTAAGGTAAAGCCTGTGTAGTAACACAGTGATGGAGTATGTTCTTAAGGTTCAACGTTGCTGTGAAAAAACAAAGTTCCTACAATCCTTTTATCTGCTTCAGATGGAATTAAAATATGGTACTGGCTTTGTTACAGCATTTATCTGTATTTGCCTTTATCTGGGGTATTTTTGTTAGAAAACAACTTTCTAGTCTAAACTCTGATCACTTGTCCTGTGCTTAATGCACTTTGAGTTTTTTATGAATGAAAGAGATGACAGGCGGGAGCTGTAATCTCAGGATGAAGTAAGCATCTTTCAAAGTTGGTGATGTCCCGATGTTAAGTGCTTCTAAATGTGTGCTTAAAACCTTCCCTCTTCCACAGCTTCCAGTTGAAGATGATATTGATCTCAGTGATGTGGATCTGGATGACTGGGATAAAGATGAGCTGTGAGATCTTCAGGAAACTCTTTTTTTCTTGGGAGAGTCTGTGCAGCAGTTTGCAACCTGGTTCACAATCTGATGGATATTCCAGTGGCCTTTTTGTGGAGAAATAGCATGTGACACACTGTGCTATTTGATGCATTGCAGCAGTGAACTGTACGCATCTCAAGAAAACATTGCAGAAATTCTATGAATTGTCATAACCCATAAACTTGATTGTATTCTGTGTAACAAATATTTTGAGGACACCATGGATATTTCTTTGGAACATCTTGGTTTTTATTTTGTGGATAGTGTGCTGTTTGGGTGTTACTGGAGGCTGTTAGTATAACCAATTTTAAATGTGATTTTTTTTTTTTTTTTTTCATGGAAGTGGAACCTGGTCAGCTTCTGTTTCAATTAAAGAATAAAACAAATATTTTTGACACACAGTGTTAGTCTTGTATAGAGTAACAAAGGTGCACATGATAAAAGGTATCCCATTTTGGATGACTCTTGAAAAAAATGAACTGTAGAATAGAGGCTGGTGCAGAGGGGAGTCCTAAACCTCTCCCTCGCTGTGAACGATCTTGACTGCTTGGCATAAAGCCTGGTTAGATGGACAATCTTAGTTTAAATGCTCTTTAGTCTTCCTATTCCTTCTCAGGGGCTTTCTCTTTCTTTGTGCCAGACTTTGTAAGCTCATTATTACAATGGAAGTGGAATGCTGCAATGGGAGACACTGGGAGCTGTTGGTCTTTCCCCCAGGATTACAGTGAAGCTACTCCCCGTTATAGGGCACGAGGATTTCCAGGTGCTAACAGAAAAACACCATGGTGCTGTCTCCAGCAAATTGGATAATATTTCTTCACTTCCCATCTGGCATTGTTTTAATTTGAAATTGCTATTTCCTTGGAAGGGGAATCGGGACTGGGAATGGGCATGGTTACTGCTGCTTTTTTAATAAAGATAATACTATATTTTGTTGCTCTCCATGTCTTGTGTATTGGTGTCGAGTGAAGTGACCCTCATGTGATCAGCTTGTTTGTAAGTAAGGACTGAAAGACCTGAAAGTTTCCCCTCCTTTCAAGGAAATAACTTAATATGGATATTTGTCATCTGGTGTCTGTAAGAGATCGCCCACACCTCATCCCTGTGAAAGGCAGTGTAAGAGCCACTGGTAGCCAACAGTAGCTTGGCTGCTGATTTAGGGCAGCAAATGTGCTCCAGCTCCAAGTCATCCCAGCAGATGAGCTCTAATGGAACTGTATTAACTGAAATGTGGCAAAAACTATACTTGTAAGTACTTGGGACTAGAAGTCATACTACGCTAAGTTCCACAGCAATTTTGAGGATCTTTCTTCTTAAGCTTTTTTTTTTTTAAATTAAAAAAATAAACTTTGGGTTTTGCTCTGCTTTCTACTTTTTCTGTTTTGTTTTTCAAGTTTGCTTTGTTAGAACAGGACTGTACACACCTAGTAGAGCCATTAGCCACCACACTTTTTAAGTTGTTTTATTTCAAGTCCAATAGATATTCCGTCTTTGTAACTTACCATAACAAAATAAATACTACCATAGTACCTCCTGCCTCTGAAATATGTTTTTGTAAAACTATGAACAATATATATTTGTATTGAAGTCACTGTAAAAATTACTGGAAGTGGTAAGATCTTATGCAATTATCCTGCTACAGCATCTGCATTTTAATTTTACTTTCAGTTGCTAAAGGTTGCTTTACTGTAACATTAGAGTCTTGAAAATCAATAGAGGAAGCTTAAGCAATTTTTTTTTTTTTAACTGGAGTCAAGAAGACTGAGGTCAATCTTGAAATAGACGTAAGGATAGTATTCTTGATTACTCAGTTGTAAACCAGGTATGTCCATGCCAGGCTGCAAAAGGAAACAGTATGACTTTAGTATCAGGACAAAAAAAAAGCAGTTGGAAGCAACAGTGGATTGCTTTTGACTTTTGTATTTGCTGTGCTTAAGATGGGGAATTCCCCACTGAGAATCTGGAGTTTGTCTGGTGTGTTCAGACTGCCTTAAAGCAGTTAGCATTGAGAATTCATGCTTAGTTGTTGCAAGTTTGTGAATGTGTATTGCAGTATCTTTGTGTGCCTCAGCTCTAGAGCAACTAATTTCTTTCTCCTCCCTTCATGCACTGAAAATATGTTTGCTGGTTTTAGGCTGCTTTAACACCTACTGGTTTATGCTGAATCATTTGTGTACTCGAGATACGGGGGGAGAGAGGGGACGAGCAAGTGCTGCTGCTTGCTGAAGTCCTAGGTGGAGGTATTTAGTCAATGACAGCCTTTTTCGAGGGGATGGAACTGTCGCACTCCTAGCATTTAGTTCTGAATGCATTTTTCTTGCTTGTGTTGATCTGAATGTTTATAGAAGCATTGAAGATTTTTACCTGGAGGAACCGACATAATTGAGCAGACCTATTTCAGTCCAGTAGCTGTAAACATCAGATGCTTCAACAGAAAATGTAAGCAATCTCTATGCATCTCCATCATAATCTCTGAGCCCTCCTGTTACCCTCATCCAGTCTGTAACCACGAGATACTGGAGCTGCACCCAGGGATCCCAGCATTGCAAGGTGTGAGGATTTGCTTGCTCTAACGCCTGGACTGTGAAACGGTTCATTTGGCTAAAGTGAGACAAGGTACAGCATGGGCAGTCACAGACCAAATACGTACATCCATTATACTTGCTGCTGCGACTTCATCCAGGTGCTTGAAGACCACATTTAGGACCTCTCTCAGGCGTTTTACAGACTTCCTATTTGGCTGCAGCAGCATTGCTTGGAAATTCACTGGGAGGCCATACCTTGAAACACATCAACATACACCATCATCTGCTGGGTAGGGGCACGCTTTTCCACCCCTGCTCTTCTCCCCCTTCAGTCTCCTGGCACGCCAGCTGATCGTGCGTTGCAGCAGCAATCTCAGTGGTGGTGTGCTGCCTCCTTATCTGAAAGCGTTTTCTTTTTGAAGCTGAAAGTCAACTAAGTAGTATCTTTGTTTTCCACTTCCCTGTAAGTGCCCCCAAAGAACTATTTTTCATCAGCTTCGTATGTCACCTTTTTTTGTGGTCATCTGTATTTTCTCCTGTGAGCTTCTGGAGTATGGTGTCTAAGGGATGTTCCCTTCCATGAAGGAGCTCCCCCAGGAAGACCGCTGTACATTTTGACTTCTCCAGGAACCTCTGCCAGCACTGTGTGTTTACCTACTTACCTCAGGACAGATTCAACAAAAACTCTCAAGGCTTTCACGTGAATCCAAGCCACAAATGCTTCACTGAAGTTCACTTTCAGCCACCGCAGTAACGGGCCCTATGAGAACAGACACAATAGTACTGTGATCCCCTCGCTGCGTGAAGCAGCTCCATAACTAACACCATTGAGGCCATCACGGGCTGCTGAGATAATTCTCAGGCAGCCAGTTAGTGGCTCCCAATTTATCAGAAACTCAAGTGACCTTGGGTAAACTCTGTTATCTATTCTGTGCCCTGCGTTTTCTGCACTAAATGGAGCTCGCAGGAGTCTGTCTGAACCATAAAGCCATTTCTGAGTGAGAGTAGCTTAGGTAACAACAGCTGTCATTATATGGACCATCGACTTGATGTGCTACTTACATATTGTTGTTTCTTATCAGAAGCTAATTTCATCAGCTCTTCCTTTTCACATTTCAGTTCCTTCTCATCAAAATAGAATTCCCGAACCATGAACCTACGATTGAATGACACAAGCCATAGTCCAAGCAATATGTGTGCTCATTTCTTTTGCCTCTAGAGAAGCAGGTATGGGATGTTTCAGAGCTGCTAGCCATTTAACTGGTTAAGGTACGTGAAGGGTGGGAGTTGAAGTCACCCCCAGAAAGCAAACTTCCTGCTGTCAGTAGCATGAGAGCGGGAAAGACAATTCCAGGATCTGTAATTTGGTACTGAAATAATAGAATCACTGTATCTGCTGCCACAGGTCCTTCCCACCCTGCCTTCTCAGTGGCTTTAGGGCCAGCAGCAGCCCAAACGGTGAGTCCTAAAAAGCAGTGACGGGTTCAGCTGTGCTGCACACAGAACAAGCCTCACCTTACCCTCACCATCTGCTAGCCTGCCCCACCGCGCAATCAGTGCTCCTTACCTGTTCTCCCTGGCTTTAGCCTTGAAGTCATCCATCACTTTTCTAAATAGGGTCACGGTGAACAGTCCCCCCTCTGCATCCTCAGCAATCATTCTGTGGGAGGGAAATCCACTGCTGTGATTTGACATGGCAAATCCCTTGTGCCTTCTTTACCTTCCTCTTCTGCAGTTCTTTTTTTTTTCATTTATGATACTGAACAACACCCTGCTTTTCAAGAACTGCTGTGACTGAATTAGGGAACAAAGACTTTACTAGCACTGGCCACGCCATCTCCAGTCTAAAACTCTCATGAGTTAAGTTCCCGAACTCATCGTAGTACATGCGCATTCTTGCGTGCCTGCTTTTTCTATGTTTCCTGGTAACTTTCCCCCACTTTCCATGCACTTGTGATTTTGAGAGAGGCAGTAGCAAACAACTTTCTTCTTTCTCTGTGCTTTCTGCTTCTTCCATTTCAGATAATAGCACTGTCACCTTTTGTGCCCTGGATTGGACCTCATGGTCTGTGGGAGCTGAACAGTGGAATATTTAATTCCTAGGAAGGACTTTTTACTGCAGGTGAAAGGATAAGTTAATTACGGCATTTGCTAATGGAAATTACTATGCTGAATTATCCTATTGTACAGCAGGAAGCAATTAAAGATGCAAAGAGAGTGTTTGGTCTTTGTAAAAAGTAGTTTCCATAAAGTTGTAGGTGATTGCATGTGTCTGAATTATGCCTGGATTACTGTAATAAATTGTTTGTTTTACACAAAAAGCAACGAACCTGGTTGAAAGTAGAACGAACGAGATTACTGGAAAAGGGAACAACAAGCTAATTGTAAAAAAAAAAAAAGGTGTTTTTTTTTTATCTGCACTTCCCTTCAACAGAGTAACTTTTGATTTCAATTGAGAATGAGATTGGGCAAATCTATATGTTAACGTGGAGCCTATGTGTTAGACAAGTGATTCCTTCCAGGATCCAGCAGTTTGAGGGGCTGAACTGTGTCAGGAATCTCTGAAACAAACAGGGACCTTAATGTGGAATTTCACTTACTTGGTGGAGCGAGGTACTACCATATCAGAGAGGGATTCATAGGTCTTCTGCCACTGGACATAGCTTGACCTTTCAGCAACACAAAACAAAGCACAGTAAATACATACCATATACTAGAAAGCAAATGTGTTAATAAATATAGTTAATTAAGCTAATGGCTTAGGGTAGAAGGGTTGGAGGTCTTCGTGCTGGGTTATGTAATTAAGACACATTAAGCATCTCCTATCCTTTCCTCTCCTAGTCACCAGCTAGGGAGATGTTTCCCTCAACAGCACACCCTCAATCCTCACTTTGGGTCTTGGCATGAAGAAGGGCCCAGAGCAGGAACCTGATGGTGGGAAGAACGTGACTTTTGGCACATACTTCCAGGTTGCCACACAGTGTCCCACCAGGATCCCTGCACAAGGTGGCCCTGCTCCATGGGTAGGTGTGGTACATCTGCTACGTGCAGTCCCAGAGCTGATCAGCTGCTACACTGCAAGCATGGCAAGTGCCAGCACTGGGAGAAAGGGGTCAAGGGATGGTAAGAGTTTGCAAAGTGAGAAGTCTGTTTATAGGGGGAATCTGAAAGAATGTGCAGTTAATAAACTCAACAAACTTACCTCAGAGAGCTTTTTGTAACGTGGTTTTCACAGACAGAAAAGTGACAGTACTGTATGTGTGTGTGTTGGGACAGGGCTATCTGGAGAGGAAAGCTTTGTGTAGGCTTCTGAGAAGGACATTGCGTAACTTCACAACTGATGGTGATCGCAGTCATCCTATGTGCAGGCACGTATGAATATATGGCCAGGAGAGGCCTTGTGAGTTTGATAGGTCTAATTCCTTTTATAAAGTGGCTAAACTCCAGTAAGAATCCGTTTTTCTCTGTTTTTTAACTCGTACTACCCTTAGCAGAAGGCTGAGAACCCACTCTGTAACCATTGAAAACCTGCATCTGATTCTGTCCTGCTCCGAGTTCAGAGCAGTCTTTGTCTCTTTTTTTTGAGCCAGCAACACCCTTGGCAGAAACCGTTCTTTCTCTTGGCTAACAACTCCACCCGTGTCCCAGCCACACCACTGATGAGCTGCCCCAACCTGACCCAGTATCTCCTGGATCCGGCGCTTAGGCCTGAAACTCAATACCACATTGAGCGCGTGAGCACGCACTATTGGCTTACTTTGGCACCACCACCAGCAGCGTGATAAGGTACTCAGAATCCAGAACAAAGTCTTCTTTATGCACAATGTCTGCTAGGGTCCGAGTCAGCAGATTTCCCCTACGGTGAAGAAGACAAAGAAAAAACAACATTAGCAGGAACCCAACAGCAGCACACTGGAGGTATTGTGCTGTGGGTACAGCTGCTAATAGTGTATCCTGGGATAGAAGGTGGCCAGGAAGGAGGTGACCAAAAGACACGTCTACACTTCTAAACCAGCCATTTAGTTATCTTTACTGCAACTAAAAAGAACAAAAAAGCAACTAATACTAATGGCAGAATATTGGTGACTAGCACTAGGCTGGTTTATGCCCTTTATGTGAAATTACACCGTTCTGCTGCTATTGTTTCCGCAGTAAGGGTGTAGAAGCTTGGGAAGTGCACACCAGAAGTTATCACCCTGCTCCCACTCATTGCCGCATCTTTTGGAGGCACCTGCCTTCACAAGGCTGCCTGTTGATCTGCCTGTGTCACCACGCTTCAGTCAGAGTAAGCAATGTTAGTATGGACCTAAGCCATCAAAGCAACCCTGGACTGCCATGGACAAGCACACAGAGATACCTCCAGCTGAAGGACAGTGGCAGCAGCAGTCTTGGGTGCAGGTGGGATCTGCAGGAGGGGGTCTCTTCATGGTCTAAGCCCACTTGATCACATTAAGTCCCACTAGTGCTGCACGCCCAGGAAGCGTAGATGGCTGGGGCTGGCCGGGCATGGCTGGGAGGCACTAGGTGTGTATGGGAAGAGAGCAGCTGCCCTCTCTGTCACTGGGAGGAATGAACTACCTAAACCAGTAGCTTTTGGTTTGAGTTTCACTGTGCCAGTCTAAACATTAATTAACTGGCCCGTAACATCTTATTAGATGTTTGTTCAACCCAAGCTAGCTGGCACTGGTAGAAGCTAGAGATGCCACCAATTTAAGGTGGACAGGATGGTGAGAGGAAGATAGGCCTGGACCATGGGGCCTCCGTTCTCCCTCCCCACCTTTCTGAAGGCCTGGCACTGCGTATGTTCCCCACACAGAGCTTCTGCCTCTCTCCAGGTGCTTAAAGCTGACGTGGAAGCTGGAGAGATGCTGCAGAGTGGGCTGGGAATTCAAACAGTGCCAAGAAAACGGAAATGGGAGCTATCGTCCTCTTGTCCCTCCCACCCATGATTATCCACATGAACGTAGCCTGAGACAAATGTGTCTAACACTGTCTATACCAAGCTGGAAGCACAGGCCAGTGGTGCTGGCTGCTGGTGGTGAGGTATGGACACAGGAACTCAGCAGAAAGAGGGGAAGGTGTAACTGTGATACAGCTCCACTGCCCCTCGTGGGCACTGCAGTCCCCATGTTGAGCAGGTCTCCATGAGGGATAGCATTTTTTTGACAAACTCATTCTGAACCACCACCTGGAAGTATTTTTTCTGTCGTTTCTGGTTGGGTTCAGTGGCACTGGTGCCAGGCATGCTCATTTTAGCTACGCATTCAGAACTAAATTCCAACCACCCTGGGGTTTGGTTTGAGCCCCTGTGAGTATCTCCCTTGGACAAGGGCTGGTTTCTAGGCAGGCCGCCAGCCTGGCTGGCTGCGGTGCCGGGAAGGTGAAGACCTGTGTCCTGTGCCCAGAGCAAGGGGCCTGAGTAGGAAAGAGCGGCACATATGAGCGTGTCTTGGGCAAGGGCTTGCACAGCATCGTCTAAGCTGCTCTAAATTTACTACCTACTGGCATTTATTATTCTCCCCAGTGATACCCTGGAGGAAATCCAGGTATCAGCGCTGACATAGGTAAAGACCATAAGCAGTTGGAGAGAGAGGAGAGAGAATTTCGGAAGCCCTGACAGAGCATTACCTGGACCAACAGAATAAAACAAAGAAAAGAAAAATGTAAATGGGATATACTGGTGAGGTAGACACAGCTGGGACAGAGAATAGATGCCTTTGCCTGGAATATTGTAAAACTGACTTTCTGAACAGCATTTGCAGAGCTCCCATCGGAAAAAGCTCTGTCTTGCAAAGGAATCCACCGGTTGACTCAGCTTATCTAACTTCTGACTCACTGAAATCTCATCAGAACAATACAGTGCATTTAGTTTTGATTCTTTCCCAAGACCGTCTGCCCACGCTGCCAATAAAATCCTATTAGGAACCGCAGTGTCCCGGAGCTGATTTTGAGACATGCTGATCACACCAGCTCCCCCGGCTCTGGCTTTCGCTGGCTCTGTAGGTGCTTAGCACGCCCCAAAGCCAGAAAAATTTCTTCCCACCAGAACCCACATGGTCCACAGCACAGCAGTGGGTGTGAGCATGCACTGCCCTCCGTTCAGCCATGCAGTGTTCCAGATGTGAACAGGCACATGCTATACTTACACAGTTTTTTTCTCCAGGCTTTGCAAATTTCCTTTAATGTTGTTGTATGCAGCTGATCTGGTCTTTAGGTCTGTTTCTATTTGAGTCACTTGCTAAAACAAAGTAAAAAAAGTGAGTCAACTCAGTGCTTGAGGTGTTGTCCTCACCCCGCTCCCACTCCGGCTGCACCTTAAGGCAAGGACACAGCTGTCAGCCCCTCGGAAAACCACCTGATGGTGGCCAAGAGGGAGGCGGTGTCCGAGCCGCCCTGTGGCAAAGGCCTCTGCAGAAAATAGGATGCAGTTATCTGCTGCCGTGTGTGTGTTACAGCTGTACCTAAGGAGCAAGTTCAGGATTTCATTTGTTATCTATACTGAAGAACGCATCATGCTTTCCTGAATAGACTGAGAGTGTAAATAATTCATCCAGCCTGCAATGCATTTGATATAATGTCAGGCCAACGATTTCACAAAAGAACTCCAAAATGGAGAACGATATGGCAGTATATAAAACCAATAAAATATTACAAAGAAGGGGATTAAAGTGCAGAAAGCATGTCAATGTACTCTAGTAAATCTGATAAAGTGCCATATACTTACTGACTGGATAGGTTTAAATATAGATATCATTATTATTACAGTAGAAATTAAACTATCAACTGCTTCAGTACAGAGTGTGTCCTTCTGAGCCTGTTCCTGCCTAAACCAAATGCAAAGCTCTCGTTGACTGCCATGAGAGGAGGGACCAAAAACTGCCAGAAGACACATGTTTCCCCATGCTGACATCTTCTTAAAGTTTGGAGTACCGTTTACCTTTGCTAATGCTTCTGATATATTCTTCAGCGGCTGCTTTATGGGATATTTGGCCATGTCCCACTCAAACCGTGTCAGGTAGCTAATTAGATCAACTGCAAATGCAAAGAGATGCATTAAAGCAGACAGCTTACCAGGTGGCAGGTGAAAGTTTGGGTAGTAGCCCCCAGCTATAGCCTAAGCATATCTTTGATTAACATTAGTGACAGGAATGAACTAGAAGCCCACCTCTGAATCCTCATAGAAATTTGATATAGATTAAATCCGCATAGATCATATGCCCAATCTAACCATCTTTCAAATTCTAATTATAAATAGTTCTAATAATAATCATCACTTCACAGCACAAACAGCTTGATGTAACATACCTCAGTCTTGATTATTGCAACATGCCTGAATTTAATCCCGGCAAGAGCTATCAGAAAAATACTTTGTGCCCAGGACCAGCAGTAATACCCCAGGTTATTGAGAGTTTGATCAAAGATATTAAAAGTGTGGCTGATGTTACTTCTCTGTGATTCAGTCAAACACTCAGTAGAAATCAAACCAATTCAGGTGCAATGAGGAATTCCTCATCAACTTTGCACACAGAGCTCCCCATCTCATGCAAAGCCATACAGTCTTTCTTTAAATGGATAAATCCAGTCCCAGCACTCAACGACAGAAATTCACAGCAAGGCCCTGTGCATGCAGCCCCCCAAAACAAAACACCCTGGGACCACGGAGAGCCACAGCTTCTTCCCAGAATCGAGGGGAGATGACACATATGACACCCAGCTCCTAGAACAGGGTCATGCTGTGGCACTGTCTTTGAAGACCAAGGCTCCTTAATGTCAGAAAACATTAAGACTTGGTACATTATGGTACCAAATAAAGAACTGTCCTCCAGCAGCTCACAAAATCAGACAGCTCTGTGCCTAACCTGACTCCTGAGAGTCCTCGGGGTGCCAAACACAGTCCTACATAATGTTCTTGGGCAACGTCATGGGATGGGATAAACTCACAACAAGCAGAGGGGCTGGGACTGTCCCCCTGCAGGTTAGGGAGGTTAGAGAAAGGCAGCAGGCAGGGTCCCAGTGTCTAGAGAAAGAAGCCAGAACAGTGTCACCTGCAGGACAGGCTTTCTTCCAGATCAGGAGAATATCTGGGAAGTCACCCTGGGGAGATGGGAAGCAAAACAAGCTCAAGGTGGCAAGTAAAAGGAGGGGCACGCTGGAGCCATTCAGTGCTCTTTGCTACTGTGTCCAGAGAGTCCACAGTGAGGTTTGAGTACAATTTCTTGTGGGCTGGACTTCCAGGGTGTGGGGAAAACTTTATGAACTGAGGTGCACGAGAAGGAATGTGAAAAGTTGCATAACTGCCATACTACCAGGCTGAGGGTACTACCCTGCCTGGTGTGATACCGAATACCTTTGGCAGGACAGCGCTATCCTTTCCGTGGGCTTCTCTCACCCCACAACAGAGTCAGTTTACCCTATTAGATTTCTAAAGCATGGAAAGTCTCATGTTAGGAGGAAACAGGCTTCTGAGCAAGGCATAGACTGCCTGGGAGGCAGACAGCACTGGCATGACGGTGTTCTTCCCCTCTTTCTAAAACCACAGCTGTGTAAACCTCCCCCACATCCAATAGACGGGAATCACGAGGCAAAGATGCAACCCTTCCTGCTAAGGTCTGAGCAAATTTTTCTGCACAGGAAGCGTATGGGAAGGGGGCAAAGCTGCAGAAGGCAGGGAGAGCTCTCAGACAGCTCCTGCGTGTGCCAGTGCTTGCTCCTGCTCTCTGGGGGGAAGGCAGGGAGGTGAAAAACACTTCAGCAATAGAATTCACCGAGCACTTTCAGCACGGAGTACACAACATAAGGATTTCATCCTGCTGCGTCTCTTCCAAGCTTTCTTGCTTAGGGGAATGAAACCTGCACAGAGCACGGTATTACTGGGCTGTATAGAGGAACAGTGTATTCGCAGGCTCTGACCTACACATAGTTGAGGAGATAGGGAAGTTCCCTGTAGACCTACACATGCCCTTTCTATCCTCGCATTCCTTGAATCTCAGCAGAATAAAAATGTTAGGCAGTTAAGCACAGCATGAGTTCTCAGCCCATTTTACAAGTTAATTCCTGAGCAGTGCTCTGGCACGGTGCAGTTCAGGCAGTTCAGTGAAGCAGCCTGATCTTGGGGACGGCACAAACTACTGTGCACACATTAGCAGAACTGAGCTTAAAATGCCAAGCGCTCCAAGCACCCTGCTGCTCATGGAATGGCACCCCTCATTTACGGAACCTCTCAAGTCACTTCTAAAAGCCTTCACATAGCTGCCCATCCAGGAGAGATGCTTCCTACCTACCCCAGCGTGCTCACAGCTGCCCAGGAACCCTACAGCCTGAATCCCTCGTAACTCTGATTTACTCACCCATCTCTAAGAGGCAATGTTAAATACTTTCCCTTCAAAACACTTAAGTTTTCAAAATTGTTTTGCTTCCCATTCTGCTTTATTTTGAGCTCATTATAAAGAATGGAGTTATTCCACCACTTGCCAAATTTTAAAATTCATTTGGGTTTAACATTACTATAAACGGAAGAGAATTCGGACCGACTATTTGAAGAAAAGCTTTTACATACATTTCACATTTTTTATTCTGTCATAAGCAAGAAAGCATTTCCTGCTGTTGTGATATACTAGAATTCCCTTTAATACACAAACACACATTTTGCTTCTATAAGAGACATCTCCACATGGCTGCTTTCGACTGTTGCCCACTGGAAAGTAGGGTGTGCGTGCACTTAACTAAAAGTGCTGTATTTTCTAGTACTTTGCATTTTTCTGCAAAAAAAATCTAACCAAAAAATTGTTAGACACACAGCCACCATCTTCCTCTGTTCGTGGACCAAATTGCTGTCAGGATTATATACAACTGAGCTAAAATCAGAAAACTTGTACAGTGTAATCTAAAACAAAATTTGAGTTGGGATGGTCTAATAGCCTGAAACAGGACCATGCAGCAAGAAGGCGTGTCTTATAATTTTGTTTCTGATTTCACGACCTCAAGGAAGTCTTCAACTTTAGAGTCCTTTTGCTAACCAGAAAGGGGAGGAGGAAGAATTCATACAGCAAAGTTGCTGCTGGTTATGAAGAATGACACTGAAATGTATTAGGGGAAGCCTCATATACTAAAGCTGACTCAATTTTTTAAGATGAAGTTATTAATCTTGGAAAGGTTAATGTCTTAGTTTAATATGATTTGTTTAGATGACCAAATCCAAACAGAGGACAGAAATTAGTAACACATACAAGTAATTCCCACATCCTTCTATTACAACACATGCAGAGCTGATAGGAAAGGAAAATGCTGTAAAAAGTGGAAACAAAGGAAATATGTGAAACCTGTCGTTTCTCAAGTCATAGGGATATCGTGATCGAGCTACGAGGTTGTTACTTGAGAAATCCATCGTAACCTGATCACTGTATCTCTACAACCAGACCAAGACTTGTGTCTAGCACTAATGCACACAAATGCATGCTTATAACTTCACTGCAATCAGCAATCCTCAACATACTTTTGAGACATTTCATTTTATCCTTTAGCCCTGAAACACAATAAGTAGGATTATTGTACTTGTCAAGCAGTTGCACCATCAAATGTCACTCTTATGTCATGCAAGGAGAACACTTGTAAAAGAACTTCCTCCCCATCCTTTACTCATACAGATCTGAAGTACAACACTGCAGACAGTCAAAGGGTGATGGGGTGTGCACTCTTAGTTTACTTACAAGCAACATTCTATAAGCCTGTAATTAGCATGTGTAACACATCCAATTTTGTTGTAGTTTTTTAGGATAGCTGGGGAGGAATTTGCTCTGAAACACAACCAGGCTTTAACAAAACATGCGGAGATCTAGGAGCTACCAGTTTCTAAATGTTCATTTTGTCCTTGACATGGGCTCCCTTTAGGGCCTTGAGTACCATACTAGACAATAAAGGGGGAAAATTAGTTCATGGAGGTTATAAAAACACCATATTGGCTACTTAGAGATGATGTAGGGGAGCATACAGAAGGTAGTGGGCTCCCACGGCCCTCTGGCATGTCAGAAGTGCCCCTGCCTTCACTGCCTGCTCTTCTCTGCTACACAGCTGCCGCCAGCCAGGGCAGGACACCACTGAAGGGCATTTTCTCCTGACAGGAGTTGCACGTACACGTCCTGCCAGACTCTGGCACAACCTTGTGAGTGCAGCCCTGGCACCATGGTTTGGAGCTGTGGCCTCACACATCCACCTGTGATGTCAGAAATCCACAGTTAATGATGTGATCTGTCCCAGCACTGTAGGAGGGAAGGCAAATCACTACCAGATCACTGATAGATGTCTTGCAGCCATAAACAATGAGATTTAGCTGCCTGTAGGAGATCAAGCCCACACAGGGCACAGAAAGGTGCTAGGTCATTTTAGGAGGGAAGAAGGGTGTCTCCTGCTTTCCTCTTCACTCCTCAGCTCTGGTGTTAGAAACTAGTTCAGTACTAGACACTGAACACCGTCCTGGAAGCAAAGTTGGCACTGGATAAAGCTTCTGCTAACTTTGAGAAAAATGGGAGGAGGCTAGACGTGTTCTTAAAAAATGTTGGTGATGGTTGTCCTTTCTAATGTGCCAGTGTTTAAATTCCACATGTTAAAATTCTGAAGCAAACCAAAGCAGCATCAATGTATTAAAAAAAAACCACATTCCCAGCACCTACCTCCATTGGCCAGAAGATTTTCCTGGACTTTATCTTTTGAGTCCTCCATAACTTCCCCTATGTACTGGGCTATTTTCTTTATTACGCTTAGGTGTAACAAGAGAAGCTTTGTTAGTGAAGAAACAAAATGAATATAAAACAGTTGCCACAATGATCTGATAAACATGGAAGTGCCCAAACAAAACAATTCTGAAGCAAGGCAGGTTAGTTTGCAATTCCTTATTTCTAAATACACTGATCTCCGCAAACTCATGGGTAATATCATTTCCCCACTGCTCTAGACTTCCAGAAGGTCAAGGTTCAGTCTTCTGTATATTCGTGATACTCATAGAGGAAACAAGAAGGCAAGAAGCCCATGTTTAAACTCTAATGGTGAACAAGAGGCTACATACAGACTGGCTGAAAATCTGTTCCATGGGATGCTCAATAAACCCGTAGGTCTTGCTGAGATAAGGTTCTTACAAAGTACTCAGGGGGAAACAACAGTGTTCTCCTGTTTGACAGGGAGAATTTCCTTCTTATTCCTCTTCTTTAGGGGACTCTTTCTCTTTTCTCTTTAGCATGGTAGACAAGACACTCCTTTAAGGTGTGAGAGAACTAGATTCAAATCCTCCTTCTGCCTGATTCAGATCAGTGATTCGAATAGAGCCCCTCCTGGAGAACATTATCTCCACACAGTTACTTATTCTTTGCTTATTTAAAAAATGGATTCATCAAGTCCCTCCAGCAGTAGATCCCCCTGGCTCTAGTCAAAGTACATAACTCCTACAGGCCAAAAGCCTTTCTGGTTTTTCTAGTACCCTTCTGTACTCAGAAATATTCGCAGAATTTGGCCACCAGTTCCCTAACCATTGCAGGTTGACTACACCTTGTAAAAAAAGCAACAGTTAAAAAGTAAGTGCCTGATCATGAAATTGGCAGAGACATGAAGTGGGCATAATCCTTGGCATGATGACATAGAGTGGAGCATAATAACAGGCTGCTTCTCCCTTTCTTTCCTTACAGAGGACAGACTACTACAGCTGCAGATGAGCTGGAGACTGAAAGGGCACCTGCAGTGTTTGGGCACTGTGTCTTGTGACATCCTGTGTCTTTCACGAGTTCAGGAAAGGGACTTCAGGCCAGGTACAGATATCACGAGAGCATCAGAGAAAAGGATTTTCTTTGATATACTGCAAAACAGATTTATAGGCCATTTAAAAGCAGTAATTCATAGTAATTCTATCTCTGTTCCCGGGAAGAAACTCACAGTCTTTGGACTATGCAGTCTTTGGAAAGGTTTTCCAGTCCGGTGACAGGGAGGAAAAACCTGAGGTTGCTGATGCTGCCAAGAAAGCAGAAGT